CACACCGCCGCCGGCTCCCGGGCTCCCTCCCATCCCCGTAGCTCCTGGTCCCCCTCGCACCTTCCGGGCCCAGAGCCCCCCTAGCTCCCAGGCCAGGTCCCCTTCAGCGCCCAGCTCAGACACCCCCCACCCCACAGCCCCTGGGCCCTGAGCTCCCCCCACCAAGCTAGGCTGGGCCTCGGCGGCCTTGGCCTCGGGCCTGGGGCGCTCTGGGAGCTCCACCAAGCACCTCTAACGCTGGGGCTGCTATCGGGGCCTGGGAGTAGGGGGAGACCCGAGGCGCACCCCTCCCGGAAGAACGCGGCCCGGAGGAAGAGTGCTAGGAATCTGGGGTGGGCCCCCCGGAAGATTTCGGGTGCTGAAAGAGGCCTCTCCCCTAAAGGGACTTTGCAAGGAAGCCTGGCCCCCCAACTTGGGGAGGGGGCTCTCTTGGACGCGTTCTCCCCCCTCCCCGAGGCAGTTAGGGGGCTCAGACATACCACCCCTCCCCGCGCTTTGGAAGCGCGGTAGAGGGCGCACCCTGCCCCCCACCAAGGGCGGGCCTTCAAACGCACCCCCACAGCCTGGGGGTGGCGGGGGACGAGCAGCTCCGGGCGCACCCACCCCCTCGGCTTCACGGGGAGAGGCGGGGGCAGGAAGCGAGGGCGGGGGCCGCGCCAGGGGCTGTAAACACAGCCCGGGAAGTGGGGCGGGAGGGGGGGCGCTGCAGCTGCGCCGGCTGCTGCCTCAGGACCGCCCAGGAGGGAGGTGGCCGGCGGCCCTGCGGGGTCCTGAGCCCGCTCGCCCCCTCCCTACAGGGCTCGTCGCACCTTCCCCAGCAACTCAAATTCACCACCTCGGACTCCTGCGACCGCATCAAAGATGAGTTTCAGCTGCTGCAGGCTCAGTACCACAGGTGAGCTGGGGGCTGGCAGTCCCTGCCCAGGGAGAAGGTGGGACTCCCCCTGCTCAGATGGCAAGACGGAGGCCTGGGGCGAAGGTTGTGGCCCCTGCTACCTACCGACACTCGGAATAGCATAGGTGCTTAGTGTCTCATATGGCAGGCCCTGCCTTAAGCACTTACAGATACTGAATTCATTTAGTCTTTAAGACAGTCCCATTTCACAGATCAGAAAACCGAGGCACAGAAATTTGAATGCTTTGCACAGACTCAGCTGTCTGGTTTCAGAGCTCTCTGGTTTCTCCCCACCCCGACCCCAGTCTGCACTGGATAAAAGACCTCCCAGCAGCTGGAGCTGGGGGTAGACTTTCCACCTCCCCTCTCACCCCTGCCCCATGGGAGAACGCCTGCAGCCTGTATCTCTCTCTGCCTTTGGAGAACGGGTTTCTGGCACCTGGTGGATTTCCCCCAGAATTTAACCTGACATTTCTAAAGGGCTTGCCCCGTGCCAGACTTAAGGGGAAGGACCACTGTTGCCTTCATTTTACACTAAGAGAAACTGAAGCCCAGAGAAGATAGGGATTTCCTGGGGTTGCCCCGCAAGGAAGTGGCAAAGCTGAGATTTATACCCAGTCTCTGGGTTGAAGATGCAGATTCTCAAGGCTCTGCTATGGCTGGGCAGGGGGAGGGCTTTGCCTGGGAATCAGAAGGGGGTCCGCAGCCATAAATACTGGCGAGGTCTTAGGCCATCTCTGGACCTCCGTTTACCCACACTCCTTTGAAGGATCCTGAGTTTTCTCCAAGAAGAAATGGGAAAAGGTGCTATATATCTTTTTCTTTGGGGGTACTTCTCATGCATGGGAACATACATGCTTTTGTTTAATCTTCTCTGCCATCTTGTCATTGTGCCCATTTTAAGGATGAGGAAACTGAGGCACCGATGGTTGAAGGACAGGCCCAGGAACTTTGTTCTGGTCCCGTGAGGAGGAAGGTTTAGGGGCTTTGCCTGGCAACCCTGGCTTCTCTGAGCCTCTCCAGGAGGCCCTCCCCTCCCTGCCTGGTGCAAGCGCAGTTCCCAGGGAGCATGGGGGCTGATCTGATTCCAGAGACTGGGGGTCCCATTGCTGCCACAGCGCTGTGTGACCTCGAGTAGGCCAGACCCCTCTCTGAGCTTTGGAGTCTCCACTCCCTGGGCGGGGCTTGCTGCTACACAGTGAGGCAGTCCTGTCATGTTGGTGCCTCATACAGTATCTGCCAGGCCCTCAGGAAGGCCAGAAATGCAGAATTTGGAAAGAAATTGCCTGATTTTTTTTTAATCGGTGGCAACAAATGCACTACTTTTAAAGAAAATTAGAAAAACCAACTGTGGCTCACCCCTGAACTGAGGTACACACGTCACCGTCAGTCTGGTGGCATGAAACTCCAGTCTCCGAGTGACCATGAGATCAACTAAGCATTTATTGGGTACTGACTATATACCAGCATTAAGAGCGTTTCTGGTCTTTAATTCATTTCATCCTCACCACCCCACCCCAGGAGGTTGGTACCCAACAGACTTGGAGACTGAGGCCTGGGGAGGTAGCAGGATTTGCCCAGAGTCACACAGCATCAAAGAAGCAGGGCTGAACTTTGAACCCAGTCTTCCTGTCTTGAGTTTGTGCTCTCAGCTCTCTGCCTGTCACCCCGAAACCTTTGAGGGAGGCCTTTGAGACAGGCCTGAAGCTCATCCTTGCCGGGGGAGGCTGAGAGAGGCAAGGGGGTCCTGATCTCTATTAGCGAATGGTGACAAGTTACACCCGCCTCCCAGGGAAGTCAGGGCCCACAAGAAGGTCTGGAGACTCCTTGGTAAGTCCGGTCCAGAGCCCTGCTAGCCAGCTCCTGGCCCTGGCAGCCTCTCTGGCGCTATCTATTTCTCCCATGCTGGAGAGTTTCCCCAGAGGTTGAGAGCGTGACCTCTGAAGCCAGCTTCCTGGCTGTGTGACCTTGAACCAGTTCACTCAGCCTCTCTGGGCTTCCACTGCAACCTCCGTGAAAGGAGAGTGACTTAACAGGCCGGACCTCGCCGGGTGTCAGGGTAGGGTAAAGTGCCTTGGGCTCCCGGTCTGACCTGCAGTCAGGGCATTTGCTCCGACTTCTGCTATTTTTATTACTATTTTTATTGCTTTCTCTGCCCCTAGATCTGCGCGGTTGGTTCCATAATCCCCACTGTCTAACTAGGGCCCCTGAGGCTCCCCCTGCCCTATTTCCATAGAGAAGGAAGTGTCTGTCCCTCACCAAAGTTTGGAGCTTCCCTGTGCAAGGGAGGGATCTCAACCCAGCTTCCACCACCCCCCTCCTTGTTCTTCTTCAGTCTGAAACTAGAATGTGACAAGCTGGCCAGCGAGAAGTCGGAGATGCAGCGTCATTATGTGATGGTAAGCCAGCACCCCACCCCCCAGGTCCAGTGGGAAGGGATGGGGGACCCCAGACCTCCCTCCAGCACTGGCAGCTGCAGCCCTAACACTGGTCACCTCCTCTGAGAGGTGCGAGGAGTCGAGGTCTGCCCTCCATTCAGCAGCCCCTGGGCTGGGCTGAGTCCGCCCTGCTAGCCTGGCCGCCTGCCCAGGCAGTGGCCGAGGTGCCAAACCACCGGGTTGCAGCCTGGGCCTGCCAGGTCCCCCGGCTGTCCTTGGCAGCAGAGGAGGCAGCGGCTGTGAAAGCCAGGAACTGACGTGGGGGAGTGTGGATCTCTCCCCTCCCTCCCAGGGTCTGGGCATCCCAGGTTTAACCCCTCCTCGCTCAAGCTTGGGAGGACCCCTGGCAGCCCCTCCCCAGGCAGGAGGCTGACACTCTTGGAGGTGGGGATGGTTGGCACTGCATTCTTTGTCCTGACATTTGACACCCTGCCCATGCACCCTGCCAGGTTCACTTGCTCAGTTTCATACCCACCAGGTGGCGATTTACGAATCCAAACTCCCTACCTTTGTCCAGCCCAGAGCACAGTTCTCCCAGGCTATGCGGGCAGACAGACTCCCTGGTCTCAGAGGGATGGGGCTAGGGCAGAGAGAGGGGATGGGGCTGGGGCAGAGAGAGGGACCCAGGACTGGGGGACTCCAGAGTGGGGTGCTCCCCATTTGAAAAAGGCTGCATGGAGAATGGGGCATTACAGCTGGGTCTTGAAGATTGAGTAGGAGCTTGCTGGGCAGAGAAGGGGAGACCACACAAAGGCCTGGGAATGAACTTGGCTCTCGCCACCCACCCTCCCAAGGGTGATGCGGAGCCATGGGATGGTTTAGAGCCCCCCAGGGAGGGGGCAGGGTCAGATCTGGGGCGTGAGGAGGGGGACTGCTGGCCCCAGAGCCATCCCAGCAGCCCAGCGGGGTCTGTTTATCCTGGATTATTTATACCCAGGAAGGCAAACTTCCCCGGAGTCCAGGGCCACCCGCAGACAAGACACATAAAGATAAAAGATTAGGAGCCTTGGAATGTGTGTGTGTGTTGGAGGGCGATCATTATTCCAGAAACCAGGGCACCCAGGCTTCCTCTGGGGCCCTGAAGCTCCCCTGGCTTCCCCAGCGGATCCACCAGGCACCTGGGCCCCCCCCTCAAACCCTCCTGGTGCGGGTGTCTCCCCCCTTCCATCTCCCTCCCTCCTGCCTCCCTCCTCTCCTCTCCCTGCTGTCTCTCCATTTCTCCCTTCCTCTGCCTCTTGCTGTCTCCCCGCTTTGTCTTTCTGTCACCTCCTCCCCCCCTTCTTTGTCTCCGGAACCCCCCCACCCGCCCCCATTTCGCGCTCTCTGTCTCCCCCCACGCAGTACTACGAGATGTCCTACGGCTTGAACATTGAGATGCACAAGCAGGTACGCCTCTTCCCCCCCTCCACTTCAGCATCCCCAGGCAGGTAGGAGCCCGCCCCGCCCCTTGGCTGAGCACCAAGTCCTTGCTGGTATCCTGTTACCTCTGAAGCCCCCCTCTTTTCTTTCTCAGGCCTCCCTGGGAGGTTTATCTCCCTAAGGGGGAGGGGCAGAGACTTTCCAGGACCTGCCACCCCTACCATTGTCTCCCCCTTGTGACGGTGGGAGGAGGGTGACCTGTGCCAACACACCATGGGACCCCCAGATTGCCCCTTGCCCTCCAGCCTCGCTCTTGCCATCTGTGCCCTGACGAAGCCAAAATCGGGTGTATCATGGGATAATGACGCCAGCTGCCCCCACCAACCCTCCCTCCCTCCCTTGGAGCGATCACCACCTACCAGGCCCCAAGTGGCTGGGCCTGGATTCCATCCACACTGTGCCCTTAGCAGCAGGGCAGAGAACCAGACTCCGATGCCCCTTTTGCCACTGGGTGCCCATGGGCCCGATGAGTTGCTCCGACCCTGGGCCAAGCTGGCCCTCTCTTAGATTAGACAGAACCCCCGGGCCTCCTGGGGCTGGTCTGCACCTGCCCGGCTGCCCGCCCGGGGCTGAGACGTCTGCGTGTTCCAGGCTGAAATCGTCAAGAGGCTGAATGGGATATGTGCCCAGGTCCTGCCCTACCTTTCCCAAGAGGTGAGTGGAGCCCCCAGGGCTGCAGGGAGAAGGAGGGAGATGAACTTTGAACTTTCCCCCACCCTCTCCACTGCAGCAACTGGTGCTGGGTGCCCTGGGGCACACGCCTTCGCTCTCTGGACCTCCCAGCCACCAGCTAGCCTGTGGAGAATTCCCCAGGCTGGAGAAACCCCAGGGGTGCAGGGCAGTGAAGGGAGGGGCCTCACCCTGCTGTGGAATTCCCAGCCCGAGTGAGTCATTTCACTGTAAAAATGTCAGCTACGCAGACGCACCAAGAATTGTGTTCCCTGCCTTGCTTCTGCCTCACACCCTCCTGAGATTCATCTTCAGGGCCCTGCCGGCCACTGCTGGCCCAGGACAAGAGGATATATGGCAAGGCGCTCCTCACACAGACGCAGGTGGACAGACAGACTTGCACAGGTGCAACACACACAGACCCACAGGTGCACACAGAAGCACGGATGTGCAAACAAAATGATGCAGACACGCAGATACCCGAGTGGACACACAGCTGCCCACAGAGGCAGACGCACTCACACCCCCGGGGGAACCAGGTACCCAGCTCTTCCTCATCTGCCTCCTGGACGTCTAAGACCTTTGGTGTGAGGCCCACTCCACACACACACACACACACACGTCTGGGTCACATAAGGCCCATTTCCTCTCTGCCAGATTTACTGTTGGTAATTCACCGTTTCCTTCTCCATCCCTGCCCATATCTCGGGGTCTTTCAAGTGATGCCCAGGGACAGTTCCAGGTGGACACCATGAAAGCCTCCAAGAAGGGGATTCCTGGAACCCTGAAGACCTAGACTGTGGTTTCCTTTCATGACAGGCTTCCTGGTAGCCAAGGCAAAAAAAAGGAACTTGGCAGATTCTAGCATCTGATGGCAGGAGAGACAGATTTTCAGGGAGGGCTGGGGATGGGGGCAGGGATTGCTCTGAACCTAGACTTCTACCCCAGCCCAGAGGAGAATTCACTGGGCCTTCCCCAGCTGTGGAAGAGGAGGTGCTTAGATGAGCAGATCTTAGAGCACAGCCCCTGAGCTCTTAGGACCAGGACTTGCCTGTCTGGTTGGCCAGGTTGTACACTGCACTGTTACATTGCACGTGGCATTGGATAGATCATGGTCTGGGGTTTCTCAGACTCACCTGCAGGCTTTTTCCCAAGATTATGGTACCAACTCCTTGGGGTCTTCTATGCATCTCCATTTCTCCCATTTTCTAGATGAATAGACTAAGGCTTGGGGAAAGGAAGCAACTGGAAAGAAGGGGATTTCGGCGTTGGGGGGCAGCTGGGAAGCCCTGGAGAGGGAGGGCTCTCACAGCCCAGATAGGAGTGTGGCTCCTGCTGGGCTCTGTGCCACAGCCCCCAACAAGATCAGGGCGACTCATCTGACTCCTCTCCACCCCACCCCCTTCCAGCACCAGCAGCAGGTCTTGGGAGCCATCGAGAGAGCTAAGCAGGTCACTGCTCCTGAGCTGAACTCCATCATCCGAGTATGTCCGGGATCTTGGCGGGTGTGGAGGGAGGAAGGGAGGGCCAGAGGTGGCTGACACTCCCCTTCCTCTGCCCCTGCAGCAGCAGCTCCAAGCCCACCAGCTGTCCCAGCTGCAGGCTCTGGCCCTGCCCCTGACCCCACTGCCTGTGGGGCTGCAGCCCCCTTCGCTGCCGGCAGTCAGCGCAGGCACCGGCCTCCTCTCGCTGTCGGCGCTGGGCTCCCAGGCCCACCTCTCCAAGGAAGACAAGAACGGGCATGACGGTGACACCCACCAGGAGGATGACGGCGAGAAGTCCGATTAGTGGGCTGTGGGGGTGGGGAGGTAGGGGTGGGCAGAGGGAGATAGACACGGAGAGAGGGACTTTCAGTGCAAGACACAGTGTAGCTTGGGATTGGCCAAACGCTGGTAATGTTTATGGTAGCCACCTGCTGGGGCCCTTGCCCTGCACGTGTGCCCCCCCCCGCTTTCCTCCTACACCCCGACTCCTGGCCTCCCTCCTCCTCCCCTGCAGCCGGAATGGGCGCATACCTGCTCATACCGCAGATGAGGCAAGCTGAGGCCTGGAGGCGCAAGTGGGAGGCCAGGTCAGAAGGGAGCAAAGCCTCATGAGGTCCAACCCCACTACCCCGCACCTCCCCGATTCGCACACGTGTAACTGACAGTCTGCCCGCCGGGGACCCTCCTGGCACACCCGGCCTCCCACCCTGGCACTGCATGCAAACACGCTAGCCGCCCCTTCCCGCCACCCCGGGCGTCCTGCGTCCCCCCTCCTGCCCACTCACCCTCTGCTGGTCCCCACGCCCACCTGGTCCTCTCCCCTCGCCCACGAGAGAGAGGGGCTGGGACAAAATGCGCTTAGCCTGGGGAGCAGGGTGGGGCCGGAGACCCAGAATCCCCTTTCTCCCCTTCCCAAATAAAGATGAGGGTACTAAAGTTGTCTTGGTTTTTATTTTATTTTTCCCCCTTTTTCCAGTATACTAGCTTGTCTTTTAAGAAAAGGGATGTTAAAAAAAAAGCAACACCCACACCTGTGTCTGTATATAGCCTTTTAGACTGTCAGCTTTTGTTGTGTTCAGTCGTTTGATCTCTACGGAGAGAAGTAAAAATGCTGTATTGAGGGTGGGCTTAGCTGTGCCTTTCAAATAAAGACGTGAGAAGGTTGGTTGCCGTGTTCCTGCCTCTGTGTTGCGGGCTGCCTGAGCTGTCTGCCTTCCCCGGGGAGGAGGGCTTCCTTCAAGTCTAAGCCCCCTTCTCTGTTACGAGGGGGTATTCAGAGTCCTAGCAGAGTGGGACTCCCCAGCTTGACGCATAGCCCAGAGAGGGTAGACGGAGGTGCTAGGTCTCACAGTACCGCCTAGGTGCTTGTTTAGCCAGCTGTTTAGACAGGCAGGCAGAGGGGCTCAGAAGAGCTAGGGGGTCGCAGAGCTGGTTAAGTGGAGCTGGTTTCTGAGTCCCAAGCCAGGGGGCTCCTGAAAAACATTCCTCACCCTAGAGACAGGATGTGGAGACTGGAATCCGCCCCCACTGCACACATACACAGATCCCTTTTTCCAGATAAGAGAAACAGAGCCCCAGTCGGACCTCAACCCTCCAAGGACCACTTAGAGGCTGCTCTCACCCCACTGCATCCAAGATGGATCACCCCCTGGGGGACCGAGCAGGAAAGGTGATTTCCCTGGTGCACCTGGCATTTGAGCCAAGAACTTAAGGCTGTCCACTCAGGATATGGAGAGGGGAGTGGGGGCTGCCATCCTAACACTGCAAGATCTATGCAAGGGCTGCGTGGCATAGAAATCACACCCTCAAGGAGCTGGGAGCACCAAGGAGGTCCAAGGACATCTCACCTGCTTTCCCAATCCAGTGGGAGCCAAGGGCACAAGGAGGGATGGAGTGAGAGGGAGGGGTGATGACAGGCGGCAGAGAGGGGACAGGGGTAACTCTCCTACTGGGTCCCACCCCTCCCCCACTGCAGCGAAAGCACCTCCCAAAATGCCAGTGTGACAGGGCCACTGCCTGCTTAACATTCATCCTTGTGTTGACAATCAGAACTCACCTCTGCCACTTGGGGAGTATAAATTGTTACATCCACCTCAGAAGGCTGTTTGGTACCCAGCAATTCCCCTGAATTTGGATGCTGGGTCCATCCAACAGAAATGCCACTAAAGTGTTGAGAGCAGCTGTAGTTAGTCATCATTGCCCCAAACTGGAAATCACCAGCTGTCCATCAAGGGTAGGATGGATATACTGTGATGTTAGTTGCCTGTGGAATATTATGCGGCCAGGAAAAGGGAGAGGCTACTGCACTCAACACCATGTGTCTTGCACACCTAACACTGAACAAAAGAAGCTGGTACAAAACAGTACATGCTGTGTGATTCCATTTATCTAAAGAAAAAAACAGGCCCCAGTGACCTATAGTATCAAATGTCATGGGGTTATCTTTGAGGAGGGGACAAAAGCAACTTCTAAGGGTAATGGTAACTTGGGGACTGATTACATGAGTGTGTTCACTTTGTGATAATTCATTGAATTGTTCACTTAGAACCTGTACACTTGTTTATGTGTTCTATTTCACAATTTTATTTTTTTTAATTATCCTTTATTATCTTCTTTTTGGGGGGTGGTAATTAGGCTCACTTATTTTATTGATTTATTTTAATGGAAGTACTGCGGATTGAATCCAGGACCTCAAGCATGCTAAGCATGCACTCTACCACGATGCTATATCCGCCCCCTATTTCACAATTTAAAAAAAAATTACTTTAAAATAGACTATCTTTGGCCTCCCTGATCCTTGGAATAAATTCTAGGCCCAGGAGACCCTGAGGGCCGGTCCTGCTACCTACACCTCTCATCATTCCTCCTGCAGCCAGGTTGAAACATCTTGCTGTTCCTTGCCTGGAGGACTTTGCACATGCTGTTCCTTCTGCCTGAAACAGTGGTGGTGTTTTTTTTTCCCCTCTCCCACGTTCTAATCCCACAGATTAGACTAAGACTCCTAGCAATCACTTCTGAAGGCCGCTCTGAACTTGGCCCCAAAGCAAGGTTCTTTGATACTCCCCAGCCCGAGGCCTACACAAATTCCAAGTGGAAAGCGACCAGCAGCTGTTATTAATATGTCACACAATGGCTCCTGGCATGCAGTCTCCAGGGTGGGTTTAAATCCTGGCTCTTCCTCTCACAGCAGAGCGATCCAGGGAAGTGGCTTCACCACTCTGGATCTTGGTTTCCCTATCTGTAAAACGGGTACAACCACAGAACCCACCATTGTCACGAAGATGGATCATATTATTTACAATCAGAGCCTGGCACAGTTATTTATTCACTGAGCCCCCACTCCCAGCCCCAGCAACACAGCAGGGACCAGGACAGACATACGTCCCTGCCCTTGTGGCTGGGGTAGACAGATGCATTAGGAAAACACAACATGTGTCAGCGGGTATGTGGATAGAGACCAAGGCCGAGAAAGGATGGGGGAGTGAGGCCAGTGAAGTCACTTGTCTGATCTGTTTCTGGGAAACTGTTCAGAGAATTAGCAGAAAGCCGGCAAGGGCTTACCAGCCGTCAGCTGTTATTATTATTATTATTACTGATGTTGCTGGCAGATGAAGGGCGCTGGGGTGGGGGGCCTCACAAGGCTGACAGTGTCCCCCTCAGGAGTCTTCTCCTAAGAAGGAGGGGCCTGCCCAGCCACGGACAGGTCTGTGACCTGGGGTCTCTCTGGGCCTCGGAGCCTCATCCTGCCCGGTGGGCTCGGTCCCCAGGTCCCCCGAGGAGTCCGCAGCGGGGCGCGTGACCAGGAGGTCCTGGGAGGGCCCGATCTCGGCCAGGAAGCCGGGGCGGGCGGAGGTGCGGTCTCCAGAGCCCCCCTCCCCGCCGCGGCCTCCCGCGCTTAACGACCGCGCCGCCGGCGACCTCGGCTAATTGATCCGCTAATGGGCCCCGCTCCGCGGCCGCGCCTAATGAGGCGGGAGGTTGGGGAGGAGGGGACGGTGGGAGACAGTGGAGGGGAGGAGGGGGAGAAGAGGGAGGAAGGGAGGGGAGAAGAGGAGGGGGAGATAGAGGACGGAGAGAAAGGAGGGGGAGGGGAGAGAACGGAGAGGAGGGCGGGGGGAGGAGGGAGGGCCAGAGGGAAGGGAGGGGGTTAAGGAAAGGAGGGAAGAGGGAAAGCAGAGGAGGGGGTGGGGATGCGAAGGAGGGAAGTGAGGCAGTGAAGGGGCCTTGGGGGAGGGAGGGAGATCGTGGGGAGGGACGGAGGAACTCCAGAGGGGGAGGGGGAGGGGGTTAGCCAGTGCTGTGCCCCCAGCTCCTTGGGCACAGGACTTGAGCAGAGGGGACTGGGTGCACCCATCCCCAGTCCCCCTCCCAGACCTTAGCCCTTTCTGGGAGTACCCTTTCCAGCACCCTCCCTGCTTCCTGGGGTCTTTCCAGGGGGGGATCTGTGTGCATGGAGGGTGTACAGGTCCCTGACTCACTCTGATGTCCCCACTGTCCTCAGTGCTGGAGTCTCACAGCCCCGCTCCTAGAGCCAGGCCCACCCCCTCCTCCTAGAGGTGTCCAGGACTAATAGATTCCCCAGCCAGGGAGAAAAAACGTCCTCTGAAGGCCAGTGAGGACTAGGACGTGACACATTAAACATTCACCATCCAGGCGGGCCAGGTACATCTGCCGCCTGAAATATTTACGTGGTCTTCCTCCTCCCAGAGTCAGCTGCCTCTGTGTTTGCGGCTTAAACTTGGATTTGGAGGAGAATCAAAAAGGAGCTGCGGTGACAGTGAAATCGGGGATCTTGGAATGACCGTACACTCTCCCCATTGTGCAGACAGGAAAACCGAGGCCCGTCAAAGGGCAGGAAGTTGTCAAAGTCACAAAACAAGGCAGGGCTGCAGCCAATCTCCTGCTCTCTGCTGGGCAAAACCAGAAATAATCAGGAAGGCAGAGCAAATCATATGGATAAAAGAAATCACAAACAGCTGCGATTTGCTGAGCATCTGTTATCCTCTGGCTTTGACTCAGGGCTCCAAGGGCATCTCTCAATTAATTCTTGAAGATGACCGGTGAAGGAAGAACCATTTTACGGATAAGGAAACTGAGGCTTGAGACTCAAAGTGACTTCCCCAGGGGCACCCAGCCATGGAACTTGGATTCTGACACAGGAAGTTCCAAGCTGCCAGGTCCTGATGTTAGCCATTTTGAAAAGAGAAGGAGAAGCTTCTGGACCCAGTGGCAGGTGGGCAGAGCTGTGGCCTCTCCCCTTGCTCAGGGCCTTCACTCTAATTGGGCTCCTTTTCGTGTCTGAGGGTGACCAAGCCTGGTGCCATTTCTGGGCCTCTCGCTCTGCCTGGAACACACTGTCCCCAAAGCCACCGAACTCCTTACCACCCCCACCTCCTGCTTGCTTTATCTGCACGGCATTGATCGCTTTAAACAGCTTAGGTCAACAAATATTCCCTTGTCCTGTGTTTTCCCCACTCTAAGATGAGTTCCGCAGCAACAGGGATTCGGTCTCTTTTGGTTACCCCTGAATCCTCTGGGCTTAGAATCGTGCCTGGGGCACAGTAGGTGTTCTGTAAATATGGAAGGAGAAAGTGGGAAAATGGCAGAGAAGCCAGTGAGATGGGTGGGCCTAGGCCAGCCCTGTAGGATGCTCCCCTCCAGGTGGAAGAGCTGGGGACACAGGGAGCCATGGAAGGTGTCTGAGCAGAGGAGGGGCGTGCCCAGATACAGGAGGAGCAAGATTCCTTGGGGACTCAGGGGGGCCAGGATGGAGGGAAGACGGAGGCAAGGCCTCAAGAGGAGGCCGCGTGGTATTTGGATGTTTTCTGACTTTAGTCGCTGTAGGGGGGGAGCTGCGTGCACCCTCGTCCTCTGCCCACCACCAAGCATTCCGCTCTGTGGGTCTCTCCTGGGACCTGCCTTTCTCTGTCTCTGTTGCCCCGCGCCTCTGGGCGTCTCTGAGTCTCTATCTCCCTGTGTCTTCATCTTCTTTCTGTTCTATTCCTCCCTCTGTCCTTC